AAAAGTTGAGTGAATCGTTACATCCCTCCTAATTATATATTAAGTTATATCAGATATGTATTTTGATTTAGAATTTAGACATTATAGAAAATGCCGATCCGTGTGTGAGATAATATAAAATGTAATAAATAAATATATATAATAAATTAAACATTACCTTGTCGTAGTGTTTTATAATTTATACAGATAACTGTTATATATGCCAATAAAATAAATATAATAACCATATTAGAATAATATATTACCTTGTTTAGTAGCCTACTTATATTAGCACTTCATCAGTAACCTATAAAAATATATATAATAGGTCATATTACATATTGTAATATTATATAATGTTGTGCGCTGATAGCGCTCAAGTGAACTAACCCTGGAACATAACCTGCACCGGAGCAGGTTATCTTCAGAGAGCAAGTTACTATGGTTACTTACATACCCTGAAAGTAACCTCCGATTTTGGAACCGAAAGCTGAGGTTATCCGCTCGCTTATTTACCTTGTTTAGTAGCCTACTTATATTAGCACTTCATCAGTAACCTATAAAAATATATATAATAGGTCATATTACATATTGTAATATTATATAATGTTGTGCGGCTGTGCGCTATCTGTCACGCCCACTGAAGGCTCATCAGTAGATCACATGTGCGCTGATAGCGCTCAAGTGAACTAACCCTGGAACATAACCTGCACCGGAGCAGGTTATCTTCAGAGAGCAAGTTACTATGGTTACTTACATACCCTGAAAGTAACCTCCGATTTTGGAACTGAAAGCTGAGGTTATCCTCTCGCTTATCCTCAAACATACCCAGGTATGTCACATAACCTGCTTTTTGGAATACCCCCCAGAGATTATTCTTCAAAAGAAATGACACAGAGAAACTAGGTCTAAGAGTATATAGTGATGATGACTGGGCATAAGATGCAGAAGACAGGCGTAGTATTTCAGGATACTGTGTCAATCTGAGTGAAGGAAGTTCTTTGATTTCATGGAAAACCAGAAAGCAATCAACAGTGGCATCTACTTAGAGCAGCTACTCAGAGGTATGGACACATACCAATATGCACAAGCAAAGGTGTACGAAGACAACAAAGGTACCATAGCACTAGCCAGAAACACAATCTGTAGGCAAAGGTGCAAACACATTGACATCGAGTAACCATTTTATAAGGGAAACTGTAAATGATGGCAAAGAGTATTGTCCCACTGAGAAAAGGATTGCTGACATTATGACAAAGCCAGCCACTAAGCAAAAACTAAAGAGATTTGCTTGAGACATGTTTGGCACTTAAGAGAAGTCTTATTTGTTTTTGGATTTCATGGAAAAACAGAAAGCAATCAACAGTGGCATCTACTTAGAGCAGATACTCAGAGGTATGGACACATACCAATATGCACAAGCAAAGGTGTACGAAGACAACAAAGGTACCATAGCACTAGCCAGAAACACAATCTGTAGGCAAAGGTGCAAACACATTGACATCGAGTAACCATTTTATAAGGGAAACTGTAAATGATGGCAAAGAGTATTGTCCCACTGAGAAAAGGATTGCTGACATTATGACAAAGCCAGCCACTAAGCAAAAACTAAAGAGATTTGCTTGAGACATGTTTGGCACTTAAGAGAAGTCTTATTTGTTTTTGTTTTTGTTATTCTGGTAATACAATGAGCTAAGAGTGAGTGGGGGTGTTAAGTATTGCACTCTTATACATTGCATTACGATAACAGCCAAATTACCTATTGTTTTATTTGAAGGTATTATGGTATGGGAGTGATGACATATGTTGTTACATGTTTACGTCTCTATTTTGTAGTAAGCTGATGCGGATGTTTTGTAAAAAGTTCATGCTGAATAAAAAGAGCATGCTGAAGAGGTGAATAAACCCCGTGCAACGTTTTGTTTTCGTAACCGAGTGATGGTGAACTGCGCACTCGAGCTCAACACGAATATTTAGTATTAATAGCTGCTGATATAGACAGCTAATTCCTCTCATGCAGGTGGAGAATGCATGTGTTAGTTTGCAGTCAGCTGTAGTCTGTTCGGTGTGTGCAAGCACAGTTTTTTGGTCCAGATGCTACCGATGTGAAACGACAACATCGTCGGCTTTCGACGCTGCTAGTTCTTTGAAGGCGGCTTGGTGTATCACGGACTTTAATCCCGTTTCCGCAAACATTCTGATATTGTAAATAATTTTCACGCAAACAATATGCAGAGTATTGAAATCGCTTTTGAATGAACACTCATTTTCACTTTCGATTTTGCGATCACACGCACTCTGTGTAAAGGGAGCACATCTTTCAAGATCAGATATTTGTCAATGAGCTCAGGATCTGTTGAGCAGCAAAATCATCCACCATCTCTCCTTACTCTCGACCCGTGATCAGTCAAATCTGACTCCTGCAGCTTGTGTTGGATCCAGGGTTGTCAAGTCCTTGTTTTTTTTTGTTTTTTTTCTCCATGAAATTAGGCTACTTTTAAATTGCTTCCATGGGTTGATGTCCCCTGTGGGTTAAAGGTTTGAAATATTGCATACATTACATTTGACTGAAATGCTTGTATGGAAACATTTTGCATTCTACATATTATAAAACTGTGCTAAATATTAAGTTTTGTAAAGGAGGGCCACTGGTAGGAAGCCTTTGAGCTGTTGTGCATAACAGTGACCATAAAATATGTATTTTAAGTATGGAAACTGCATCTGGCATAGGCTAGTTTTGTCACACAGACCTGGCAACCCTGGCTGTATGAGCAGAGCAGACGCTTTGTTTAAATACTTCTTCCAAGTTTTTTTTTTGTTTTTTTTCTCCATGAAATTAGGCTACTTTTAAATTGCTTCCATGGGTTGATGTCCCCCGTGGGTTAAAGGTTTGAAATATTGCATACATTACATTTGACTGAAATGCTTGTATGGAAACATTTTGCATTCTACATATTATAAAACTGTGCTAAATATTAAGTTTTGTAAAGGAGGGCCACTGGTAGGAAGCCTTTGAGCTGTTGTGCATAACAGTGACCATAAAATATGTATTTTAAGTATGGAAACTGCATCTGGCATAGGCTAGTTTTGTCACACAGACCTGGCAACCCTGGCTGTATGAGCAGAGCAGACGCTTTGTTTAAATACTTCTTCCAACTGAACTAAAAAATTATATTTCTATAAAAAAGCAAAACGACAGTAAGGGCGGTGCCACGGTGGGCAAGTAATGTAATCAGTGTATGACCAAACACTGTAAACAACTGTTTCTTGGTATGCTCCAAATCGAGTGACTGCGGGATGGCAGGACCCACACTACATTTTTTTGTCCACCCATTCCCTCTAGCAGTAAATGTAAAACCACCTTCTCCCACGACATTTGCATTGGGTCCCGCAGGTAGGGGCATCGCTAGCAGGGGCGGATTGGCCATCTGGCAATTCTGGCAAATGCCAGAGGGCCCGGACCATTTTGTTTAATATGGGCCGGTCAGATTTTTTCTAAATATAAATAAGATTGTTTTTACGGGCCAACAGCACATAGGATGGGTTTTTATCGCTTGCACAATTTCTCTATGGTTATAGTAATAATAATGTTAATAATAAATAAATGTTAAGCATTTGGCCCAGTCGGCAACGGCCGGCCGCCTGGTCCCGAGATGGGCCGACCGAACCGTTCAGTCAAAATCAAGCACGTCATCAGAGAGATTGCAACATGAGCTAATTTTCAGTAAAAGCTAGATAATGGACCGTAAAAAAGGAAAGGCGGTGCAGAAAAACTTTGAGAAAAAAAAAAAAAGGGCTTAGGTCCGACCCTGCTAAATGCGTAAAATTAACTGAACTTTTTTCAAAAGGTTTAAATTCGGCTGCTGCAGCGGAGGACAGTTAGTGCCGCAGAGGTAAGAAGAAAACACACTCACACACAAATGCACATGCACTTCAGCATACTTTAATTCACAAATAATTGTATATTAAAAAGGATTTACTGCTGCTACTATTTATAGTTTTTGCTATATATTCTATTCCCTTTTTTGCTATTATTACTTGTTTGTATTCATGTGTATTCCAATGTTGAGAGCAGTCAGTGAGAAAATATTTTGCTGTAATGTTTACATCCTATACTGTGTTCATTAACTAGGATGTTGCTGGAATCAGTACAGCCAGAGACCCCTGGTCTTTCAACACCAGTGCTGTGAGGAAGGATGCTACAGTAGGCCAAGCAGAGACAGGGAGGAGTATGGTAGAGGTAGGAAAAACCCAACAGACAGACAGTGACAACAAAGATGCCGCAGAGGTAAGAAGAAAACAGAAAATACAGCTAGCACAAGTCATTTTCACACTACTTCTGCCAGTTAGCTTGTGTTTTTTTTTGACAGTGTTTAGCCTACATTGGATTAAACAGTTGTAAGCTTAGCATAGAACCCCAGTAGGCCTATATTTTAAAATGTAATTGCGTCGTGATAATTGGTTAACTTAAGTGTTAATGAGCCTGTTACTGAATTGCATGACTGAAATATCAGCAGATAAAGTGGGATTTAGGGTAAAAACTGATGTAGGCTACTTGCAATATAGTCTAACACATCAAAAACCTATAGCAAAAGCCATAGTACTATAGACATTTGTAGTGAACTTTACCTTGAATATGTAGATAGTCATATATTAAAATAAAATACTGTAGAGAATGACAGTAACAGCAGACAAATGGCATAAACGGACAGCACACAGACTCTACAACATCCTCAGATTATTTTTATTTTGTTTTTACTGTATGTGTACATTTGTTATAAACGTGTGCTCTTTAAAACGTAGTAAGCATTGTTTGCCAGACATATACATTAAATGTTTAAATATCTGTTACACATATGGTACTGCTTATATTATTTCACCATCTGTACACAAATGTAAGTAGTGAATGTGTGTGTCCGTGGGTGGGGCTGTGTCGGTGTGGTAATGTGGGCCGGTGTGGCTACAGTGCCAGGGCTGAATTTTTGTCCCAGTCCGCCCCTGGTCGCTAGTAGGGGAAAAGGGTGACAGAGTGCATAGTGTCCAGAGGTAAATGCTTTCCACCATTTTGAATGATATATTACTGTATATGTAATTTGACAATTAGTTACAACAATGGAGTGAAACATTTAAACATACATACTGTAAACAAAACACACTAACAACCAATCAATGTAGCGAGGATTTAAGAGGGTGGAGTTAAAGGATGAATAGGGAAAAATACAGAAGTGTGGAGAGAGTAGGAGAGAGAAGAGACAAAGAAAAAAACATCTCATCGAACCAATTAAGCCAACAAAATAAGAAAGAGTAAATAAGAAAGGTAGGTTGTGTCCTTGCTACATTATTGGTCATTGCAGGCTGGAATTAAAGACAAATCATCATCCTCTTTCTTATTTTAAGTGATCTTCATATCTAGTTGTAGTCCTGCTTAAAAGTGAAATGTTGATGCTTGGATACCTGTTTTTGCTTCTCGGTGAGTATCTCTCACATTTCTTGTACTAATAATAGACAATATTTACTTAGAAAAATCATTTGTTTCTCAAATGCAAACTAACAAGAGGTTTGATCATGAGTACTAACAACTTGCACCAATGGTTAACCATTAAAACATTATCAACCAGTTATACTGTTTTCATGATTGTATAGTAAAATAGTGAAATAAAATTCCTTCCTTTTGAAAATGTTTTTGACGACACCTATCCAATTTTCTGTATTTTCTGTATTCTACCAAAAACTGAAGAGTGCCTGCCCGAGGAGATACCAGGGATTTTGAATTTTTGCGAGTTTTGCGAGCTCTCTCTTTCAAATAAGGTTTTAAGTAAATGATTGCTTTGCATGTGGTGATGGGTAACCTCGAGCACAGGTTTGTTTTTGATATTATTATAGGGCCGAATGAAACTAGATGAGAAGATAATGTATAAAAGTATGCATTGGTCTAATACTATCTGACACTGATATGTAAATAATAATGCACAGTTGGTTGGTCAATATAAAAACAATTATGATCAGGAACCTGTTGCATTTCTAAATAAACAAATACATACAATATGAAAATGCAACAAAGACACATACAACACTTCTTTGACATTCAGTCTTGAGTTTAAATATTACAACAGAAATGTTAGTACAGATTTTGTAATAGTTTCTTAACTTTGGTGTGCATATGCCCCTGCCATTCAGATTTTTCATGCTTTCCCATGAAATCATTCCAGATATATAACCATTTGCTCTTTATTGCTGCATCAGGTGCCATTGACATTCACACTACAGCAAATAACCTGCAAGGTATTAAAGTTTATTTAATCTTTAACTGAAATTATCAGAAGGACATATTCTCTAAAGAAACCAATTCAGTACTAATGATTTTACGATAAAGTAATGCTCTTATTTTGTAATACAATGTTTTAAATGCTAATCTCGGGCCATTCCAGTGAGCAAACTTATGTGACACAAAATTTCAAATGCACAAAAAATAAGTTATTTGTATTTCTCTTTCTAGAGAATATTGCAATCAACGGAAAAGCCGTACAGTCATCTACACTCCCCTACGAGGCTAATAAAGCCATTGATAATGCTGATTTGTACTGCACTCACACTGAAACCGAGGCAAACCCATGGTGGAGGCTGGATCTGATGGATCTACAAGTCATTCAAGAAGTGATCGTCACTAACAGGATAGACTGCTGCTTTGAACAAATCAATGGAGCTGAGATTCGCATCGGAAACTCTCTGGAGAACAATGGCAACAACAATCCCATGTGAGACCCTCTTTCAGTGGCTTAATATCCATAAATAATCCCTGAAATCACATATGAAGAAAGACTATAAATCTAAATGATGTTTTCCTCCGTCTCTCTTTAGATGCGCTGTGATTTCTAGCATTCCAGCTGGTGTTTCCTCCACCTACACATGTAATGGTATGGAGGGTCGATACGTGAATCTGTTCATTCCTGGAGATACAAAGTATCTTACTCTGTGTGAAGTGCAGGTCTATGAAGAAGGTATGATGAAACAAGCAGAGTTGTTTCATCAACAATAGTTGAAATTTGGCTATTTGTGTTTACAATAATTTATTACATAAAATGCATTTGTGTTTGACACTAATCCATATCCATCCTTATTGCAAGTGAACCTATATTTAATGTTATCTGGGTATTTTCTTGTTTTACATTGATTTTTGAGGATCATTACACAACCTCTCATTGCATCCGTTTAATCCTAAGACGTTTTTTCTAACCTTTTTTCCAAGACGACCTTTGTGAAGATGAAACTGAACTCTAATTCAAGCCTGTCTGAACCTGCAGTGAGAGTTCAGCTCCTGTCACAGGTGAGAGAGGGAAACATACAGAAATCTGAAACCAAATCACACTGATACCAGTTTTAAGAGATCTGAACTTTTCAGCTTCAGTCTGCTCTGACGAAACGAGGGATTTCTGTCATGACGCTGCAATTGTCTCATAAACAAGAAGTGAAGCGGAAGGAAGCTGTGCCAAGTGAATGTGTTCATACAAACACTGGAAATCTGAAAAGGAATGTTAATTTTGAAGTTAAATTATTTCAAATAAATATGCATATATTACAAATAACATGAAACATGATGTTTTTATGACGTGATGAACTGTTTTATTTATAGCTCAATGTGCTGTAAGAAAGAGATGATGATGATGATGATGATGATGATGATGATGATGATGATGGGGAAACCTAAACTCTCTTCGGATCAGTTTTGATGTTCTTCATTTACCTGCTGGAATTTTCTCCATTCCTCAATATTGATCACAATAAAATTGTACATAAAAATGTATGATTCCTGAAACTGAATTTTGAGACATGCAAACTGATTTGATTTCTGTAAAAAAAAAAAAACCTTGCTTGTAAGTGCAAGTAACTACGGAAGCCCTGAACCGCATGGTGGTGTAAAAAAGAAAAAAGAAAACTTATCTCGTTATTTTGAGATATCAAGTCGTTATTTCGACATATTAAATCGTTATTTCGAGATATTAAGTCGTTATTTCGACATAAATCGTTATTTCTACATATTAAGTCGTTATTTCGACATAAATCGTTATTTCTACATATTAAGTCGTTATTTCGACATAAATCGTTATTTCTACATATTAAGTCGTTATTTCGACATAAATCGTTATTTCTACATATTAAGTCGTTATTTCGACATAAATCGTTATTTCTACATATTAAGTCGTTATTTCGACATAAATCGTTATTTCTACATATTAAGTCGTTATTTCGACATAAATCGTTATTTCTACATATTAAGTCGTTATTTCGACATAAATCGTTATTTCTACATATTAAGTCGTTATTTCGACATAAATCGTTATTTCTACATATTAAGTCGTTATTTCGACATAAATCGTTATTTCTACATATTAAGTCGTTATTTCGACATAAATCGTTATTTCTACATATTAAGTCGTTATTTCGACATAAATCGTTATTTCTACATATTAAGTCGTTATTTCGACATAACTCGTTATTTCGAGATATTAAGTCATTTCAACATAACTCGTTATTTCGACATATTAAGTCGTTATTTCGAGGTATTAAGTCGTTATTTCGACATAACTTATTATTTCGAGATATTAAGTCATTATTTCGACGTAACTCGTTATTTCAAGATATTAAGTCGTTATTTCAACATATTAAATCGTTATTTTGAGATATTAAGTCGTTATTTCGACATAAATCGTTATTTCTACATATTAAGTCGTTATTTCGACATATTAAATCGTTATTTCGACATAACTCATTATTTCGAGATATTAAGTCATTTCGACATAACTCGTTATTTCAAGATATTAAGTCGTTATTTCGAGGTATTAAGTCGTTATTTCGACATAACTCATTTTGAGATATTAAGTCATTTCGACATAACTCGTTATTTCGAGATATTAAGTCATTTCAACATAACTCGTTATTTCAACATATTAAGTCGTTATTTCGAGGTATTAAGTCGTTATTTTGACATAACTCATTTTGAGATATTAAGTCATTTCGACATAACTCGTTATTTCGAGATATTAAGTCATTTCAACATAACTCGTTATTTCAACATATTAAGTCGTTATTTCGAGGTATTAAGTCGTTATTTTGACATAACTCATTTTGAGATATTAAGTCATTTCGACATAACTCGTTATTTCAAGATATTAAGTCGTTATTTCGACATAAATCGTTATTTCTACATATTAAGTCGTTATTTCGACATAACTCGTTATTTCGAGATATTAAGTCATTTCAACATAACTCGTTATTTCGACATATTAAGTCGTTATTTCGAGGTATTAAGTCGTTATTTTGACATAACTCATTTTGAGATATTAAGTCATTTCGACATAACTCGTTATTTCAAGATATTAAGTCGTTATTTCGACATAATAAATCGTTATTTCTACATATTAAGTCGTTATTTCGACATAAATCGTTATTTCTACATATTAAGTCGTTATTTCGACATAACTCGTTATTTCGAGATATTAAGTCATTTCAACATAACTCGTTATTTCGACATATTAAGTCGTTATTTCGAGGTATTAAGTCGTTATTTCGACATAACTTATTATTTCGAGATATTAAGTCATTATTTCGACGTAACTCGTTATTTCAAGATATTAAGTCGTTATTTCGACATAAATCGTTATTTC